GTTCATTTAACAACAAAAATATGAGCACCTACTAGAAACCAAAATGTGTTCTACATACTAAGGATTCAGCAAACATCAAGACAGTCTTTGCTCTCTATAGTGATAGAAATGCTTACTATGTGTCAAGGAATAAGGAAGTGACTCACACTAAACCTTGAAAACCAAATAAATATTTGAAAATGATTTTAAAGATATTGCTCAGTAAATTAGATATGTAGGACAAGATTATCAACTTAATTTTGTTAAGAATGAAATGCAATGGAATTTGAAACTGAGAAACAGGAAAAGGTAAGAGAAAGATGAATAAATATGCCCCATTTCTAAGAGAAGGTGTGGGAGGAGGAGGAAGCCAACTCAGCACCAAAGCCCTGCAATAATTTTCCTCAAATGATACTCAGGCAGTCCCAAGGTGGCAGCTTATGAAACAAATAGAGTAGAGGAATTGGTAGCGTAGTGCCTAAGGCTCTTGATTGCTAACCAGAAGGCTGGCGGTTCAAACCCACCAGCCACTCCTCACTTCCCTAGTGATACCGCCTTGGAAACACAAGGAGGGGTTGCCATGAATCAGGTCCGACTTGGTGGCACATAACAACAGCAGCAACAACTAACTACTGTAAAACCATGATTATTTTCTAAGACAAATGTGTCACAGAGCAAGCATCCATACCCAATCAGGCCAGCTCGCCACAATTAGGATAAGCATCCTACCAAGGCTATAGTCTAAACTGGGCTTTGAACCTGTTCAGTCTGGTTCAACCCCTGGTGAGAATTTGAATTTCTATCCCAGATGTACTGAATCAGAATCTGTAGTTTAACAAGATTCCCTGGAGATTCCTATGTATATGGAAGAATCACCTGGAGATCTTGCTCAACTATAGATTCTGATTCAGTACATGGGGAGGGGGGTGTAGAAATGCAAATTTTCAGTAGGAGGTCAAGTCCAAATGAACTGGTCCAAAGCCCTGATTCTAAATCAGAAATGAAAGAACTCACTGATATGCCACAGAAGTAGGTTAAGCATCTTATGAAACACACACATATACACACACATGCACATATATGTATGTTTGAGCATAGACTGGTTGGTAGGTAGATATCTCTGGTTGACAAAGAGGCAAAAAACTAGGTCAGGATTCAAAACAATTCTATGTAGTTAGTTATCTCTGCATGAATCACTTTCCCACATACCAAGAGGGCATTTTTCCACAGGGTGGAGAGGGAAGAAAAGAGGCAATATCCTGTATTACACACTATGCAAAAAGAAAATAATAATAACCTTGCTTTCTAGTCAATTCTGACTCATAGTGACCCTATAGGACAGAGCAGAACTGCCCCATAGGGTTTCCAAATCTGTAAATCTTTACAGAAGCAGACTGCCCCATTTTTCTCCTGTGGAGCAGATGGTGGGCTTGAACCACTAACTTTTCAGTTAGCAGTCAAGGGCTTAACCACTGTGCCACCAGGGCTCCTACTGCACACTATATTGATGATTTAAAAAAAAAAAAAAGTTGCCATTGAGTCAATTACAGCTCTTGGCAATCCCACATTGTGTATCAGAATATACCTGTGCTTCACAGACTTTTCAATAGCTGAGATCTCTCAGAAGCAGACTGCCAGAATTTACTTCCACAGCATATTTGGGTGAATTTGAATTTCCAATCTTTTGGTTAGTAGACAAGCACTTAATCATTTGTGTTGCTGAGAGACTCCTATATAAATCATATGTTTATACATATTCCAACCTTCCCACATCACAAACTACTTTCTCCTGACCTAAATAATAAGCCTTACTACTCTAGAGGGTCAAAACACATCGGATATATACTACAAAATTGGCTTCCCCTAAGTCAGACACTAAGGAGCTCTGGTGGCGTAGTGGATAAAACATTTGGCTGCTACCTGGAAGGTCAGTGGTTCAAACCCACCAACTGTTCCGTGGAAGGAAGATGGGGCAATCTACTTTCATAAAGATTTATAGCCTAAGAACCCCAGTGGGGGTCACTATGAGTAGAATTTAACTGGATAGTACTGAGTTTGGTTTGGTTCGAGAAAGTCAGACACGAAAGAGTACACATTGTATGATTCTTCTTATAAACACGACAGAAATCTGGCAAAAGTAATTTATACTATTAGAATTCATGAATGTTTATCTTTGGTGAGGGGATGGTGATAAGGTGCTACAAGAAGGTGCTACAGGGTGCAGTAAAATTCTCTTTATTGATCCAGATACTGCTTGTTTGTCATTTAGAGGTCTAAACTTGAGGAAAAGATCCTATAGTGCTAAGCACTGTGGAGGAAGAAGCACTTAGACCTATGCTGATACAGTGAGCTATACATAGCACTTCTGGTGCTGGACCTTGGGCTTCCCCCATCAGTTAACAGTCCTAGAATCCTGCCTGTCCTCCACTATGCACAGTTTAAGCCTTTATTTCCCTCATCACTAAAATAGACACAATAATATGCCTTCCTCATAGTGTACTTGGAAGAACTAGATGACATTACACACACACACAAAAAAAAAATAACACTGTGCCTGGTACATAGCAAATGGCCAGTGAATTGTAACTATTTTTACAGTAGCAGTAATGATAGAAAAACTTTTCTTCTAAAAGATGACTTTACAATATCACTTGCCAAGTACAGAATTTAGAGATTAATAATCTGCCAAAAAGAAAACGTATCTTTTAAAGCAACCTAAGAAAAATGTGTATGAAAGACTTTGTAGCCTGGCTTCTTGCCAGATGACTTTCAGCTTTTCAGAACAAATATATTATTATAAACAGCTTCAAGCAAAGAGCTCAGGCTTTGGAGTGATCTGTTAGAAGTTACTTATACTCTGTAAGCTTCAACCCCTCGCCCACAGAACAGGAATAATAATACCTGTATCAGGGTAATACCTAACCGAAATTAAACCTACCTCACTGCCATAGAGTAGATTCCAACTCATAGCGACTCCCTTTGGCTTTCTGAGGCAGTAAATCTCTATGGAAGTAGATTGCCCAGTCTTCCTTCTGCGGAGTAACTGGTGGGTTTGCACCACCGACCTTCTGGTTAGGCACTACGCCACCACAGCTCCTTTCATAGGCTAATAATGAGGCTTAGCTGTTATTTGCAAATGCCTAGTGCCTAAGGAACTTGACTGCTAACCAGAAGGCTGATGGTACAAACCCACCAGCCACTCCTTGGAAGAAAGATGGGGCAATCTACTTCCGTAGTGATACTGCCTCGGAACCCAAGGAGGGGTTGCTGCGAGTCAGGTCCGACTCGACGGCACATAACAACAAAAGTAAATCATTATTTTAAAGCTCATGGAATAAGAGACTTTAGAGGATTAACTGAAATCAGGATATAGTTTAAGAGAAAAATTTCCACTCACTGTACTACACTTCTTTGTAGCACTCTTATATCTTGCCTCCTGTTCTAATTAAATGTGTTCCTCCTAATGTTATAAGAGCTGACTTGATTTCATTCATCTCCAGATCTAACCTTTACACCACCTGCTAAGTACAGTAAGTCCCTGGGGTTACAAACATCCAATTTATGGACAACTTATATTTACCCTTTAATGTGATGTAAATGTGCCCTCACTTTGAAACCACTGAACCAACTCCTCCAAAAATAAACCAAATTCACTGCCATCAAGTTGATTCTGACTCATAGTGACCACCATTGGGTTTCCAAGACAAAAAATCTCTACAGAAGTAGATTGCCCCATCTTCCTTCCATGGAGTAGCTGGTGGGTTTGAACCGCCAACCTTCTGGTTAGCAGTCAAATACCTTAGGCACTACTCCCAACAAATTCTTCATCATAATAACCTTCACTTGCTGCTTGTGCTGCTTTTAAATCATGGAAAAGGCTACAAGCCTTTTCCTTCACTAAAATAAGATTAAATAAGAACCATATACACCTGTTTCAACTTATCTACAAATTCTACTTAAAGATATGCTTAGGAATAGATCTCATTCACAGCTCGGTAACTACTGTACCTATCAGCGACTTTTCCATACACCAGCTATAAAGAGAAGTATTTCATAATGGTACACAGGCCAATTCATCTATAAGACATAACTGGTAGAACAAAAAAAAAAAAAAAAAAAAACCTGAAGCCAGTATTATCAAGTGGATTGTGACTTATAGATTATTATTCAATAGAATAGAACTGCCCTATGGGAGTTCTGGTAGCACGGTGGCTAAGGCACTTGCCTGCTAACCAGAAAGCTGGCAGTTCAAACCCACCAGCCACTCCTTGGAAGGAAGGTTGAGCAATCTACTTCCGTAGTGATACCGCCTCGGAAATCCAAGGAGGGGTCGCTATGAGTCAGGTCTGATTCAACGGCAAATAACAACAACAACATGGGAGCTCTGGTGGCTCAGTGCCCAAGGTTTGACTGCTAACCACAAGGCTGGTGGTTCATATCCACCAGCCACTCCTGGGAAGGAAGACTGGGTGATCCACTTCCCTAGAGATACTGTCTGGGAAACCCAAGGAGGGGTCGCTACAGTCAGAATCGACTTGACGGCAGTGAGTTGGGGTCTTTTTGGTTTATAGGGCTTCCAAGGGTGTCATCTTTACAGAAGCATACTGCTACATCTTTCAGTGGCTGGTGGATTCTAACAGCCAGCCTTTCCATCAGCAGACAAGCTCTTAACCACTGCATCACTAGGGCTCCTTGACTTGTCCTTATAGGTATTACTAACAATACACTTCCGTAGTGATATTGCCTCGGCAACCCAAGGAGGGGTCGCGATGAGTCGGGGCGACTGGACGGCACACAACAACTCAATGCTCGAAAATTCCAACATTTTTTTACATCACTAACTCAGACTGGGAGCATGGAACTCTTTTTTGAAAAGAGGAACAGAAAATAGAAATGTTCCTGGACAGCAAAATATTTTTTTAACCACAAATGGGAGAAATTTCAGGAACAACATTTCGCTTAGCTTACTCTATTCCCTAGTTTCTATTAAGATAAGAGTGACATCTGAGAACAAGGCTTACCTAGTTGCACCATTTCTTCATTACCAGCCTGAAAAAGGAGGGGGGAAAGTAAGAAAAAGAAAGTTACTGGGTTTCATCTTATCACTTTTTCCGTTTTATTTCTACCATTAATGCTTTACAGGAGCTAGCTAATCAGGAGACGCTGGACACCGGGATTGGTGCCTAAAAGCTGCATCTTGGTTTGTAGAAGGTTCTTGTCACAGGACATGAGCCAATTCAATAACAATTGGGTAAAGGAGTCGTTTGCCCATTTTAATTTAACATTTGCGAAGCCAGGAAAAATAAGTGTAACATTCAATTCTCTCTCCTGGAAACGCCCAATACTGGGTTAGGATTAGAAAATAAAGTGTCTGAATTTATTCAGGCGAAAAAAGACTAAACGGGGGCCTGATTCATCGGATTTGAGATCAGAAATCAACCCTATGGTCCGACCAGGCAGACCAGAGAAGCTATAAAACTCAGAGAAAGTCTGTACCCTAAGTCCCACAGGCCCCTTACAGATGTGATTTACTACAGGAGGCTTGCCCCACGCAGCCTTCTCAGGGATTCTTCTGAGAGCATCAGGCTTCACCTTGAGTCTCCAAAGGGTGGGGGCAGGGCCCAGAAGAAACAGCCGCACTCAACTTAGCTTTAAAAAGAGGAGGAGCTGTGCAGAGGGGGAGGGGAGAAAGGCGGCCCGCGGCTCCAGCCTCTGCCCAGGAAAATGCAAGGCAGGAAACGTCCCCAGCCCCCCTCCCCAACTGTCAAACCCTAGCCGGGCCGCGGTCCTCCCAGGACACGTGTCTACTAGATTGCTCCCTGTCCGGCCCAAGGACTTCCTGAAAACCCCGCCTCCTGCTGCCCGAAAAAGTCGTGAGTCAGTTACAACCGCCTGAAGGAGAGAAAGCCCCGCGAACCCGACTCCGGCTGCAGCAACCAGAGCTCTGGGATCCTGGACCCAGCGTCCAGAACTTCATTCAAGCGCCCAGACTGCCCTCCCGAAAGGGGAAACCTAGATGGCCCGGCGAGGATGCGAATTGGCTGCAGTTTGTCACCAGTAATTGTTAGGAATGCCGCAAAGTGGTGAAGCCCTAGGTGTGACAAGCCTGGGCTCCAAACGTGGGAGTCATAACCTCCTGTGCAACTCAAGCCCCCACCCAAAAAGCCCGCACGTAGCACCCAGCCCTCAAATCACTGTTCTTTAATAACGATAACAGGGAAGGGTGGGAGGGGGAGAGGAAATAGGAGGGAAGAAAAGGAAGGAACTTTTTCGGGAAAAGGTTGGGTTTGAATTTTTTATTGTTATTATTTTCCACTTACTTGTCCATCAGCTGAAGTCCTAACCTCTACCAGAGCGGCTGCTATCAACCAAAGTGACAGGAGAACCATCACGAGTCGAGTTCACTTTTCAACTACTGGGCAGAGCAAATGCCCAGAGCAAACCCCCCCAAAAGAAGTTGTTTTTAAAAAGGAAAAAAAAATGCAGAATTTAAAAAAAAAAAAAAAATGATCTTCTGTGCTTTGCTTCAATGGAAATGAAATTTGAGCTCTGAGACTGGCCCCCTCTGCTCTGCAGTTCTTTCCACTTCACCTTCTCACCCCGTCCTCCCAAACGGAGTGTGCAGGAGCGAGAAGGTGCTGCAAGTCAGGCACTGGCAGCGTCGGGAGAGGGGGAAGGGACGAGGGGCTTCCCACTATCTCTGCCCGAAGCGGCTCTTTCTAGGCTTTTCGAGCACCAATGGTCCCTAAGGTTAGCGCAGAAATGCTTGGGTCTCCTAGAGCACAGCAGGGGGAAGTATTAGCGAGAGAGATGAGAGAGCGCGAGCAGGAGAAAAAGGCAAGAAGAGGGCGACTCCGCCGCACACGCTGAAGTGGGGGGCGGGAGGAGTCGTGGAGGGAGGAGGAGGAGGAGGAGGCGCGGCGGAGGTGGGAGGAGAGGGCCGCTCGCCGGCTCCTGTTGCTCGCTGAGCGGCCGTCTGCTTGCTCCCGGCGACCTGCGGGGCGCTAATAAGGCG